AGTTTTGCCACTTTGTCTCTGACTGGCAAAAATATTCTGTTTGTTCCTTTTGGATGAAGACTTGGTTGCTGCAGTGCCAGGCATGTGTCACCTCCAGACTATACTACTGCAGTTCTCTCTACCTCAGACTAAAAAGGAAACCAATGAAATTACAGCTACAGAGGAAAACAGCCACGTCTCCTAAGCAGGAGAGCCAAAAAGCAGCCTGCTCTGGCTCTGAATGTACTACTTCATCCAGCTGAAGCTTCTAATATGGAGATACAAAGCCCTCAGGGGGACTGCTCTATGTGACTCCATAGATGGTCTTTCTTCAAGAGAGGCTGCAGGCATGAGGAACACCATGCTTCCCAGGGCCCAAGCCAATGCAACAGTAGGCTCTGGATGCTAGACACAACCAAAAGAAAAAGGATAAGATCTCACAAAGCAAGCTCTTGAAATGAAAGTTCTACAATTATGCTTCAGCTAAGTAATTCGCCTTCTTATACCAGCACTTAAAATGCTCTTGAGTGTCTCTAGTGTGATGCCCAATTTGTGAAAGCAGTTCTGCCAACACTGCTCAGAAGGAGATCTGGTTACTTACCAGAAGCTGTTACTTGAAATTTCCCACCTGCCTTCTCTGTTTCTGGGAGTCTTTAACTGGGAGAGAAGTGAGTGGTGTAGAAGTGACTCAGTGTGCCATAGGGCATGACAATTTGGATCCTTTCTGAAGACTATCTGTGGTCCCAAAGGACAATGTTGTTCTCAGTGGCCCTGCACAAGGCTGATGCATATTTCAGACATGGCTCAATACAGGCGAAGGGCTAGTTTCTACTAAGTGAGGTGTTAATAAGTACCTCCCTATTAACTTCTTGCCTCCAGTTTTGTAGTAACTGTTTCTAAATGCTTTTGGAATGACAAATCTCAGTGTGTGGTCCCAAGGGCAGGCAAATATATACATGTATAGGAAATTCTAGAATGAAAAATGAAGTTCTAAGGATATATTAAACAAGTCTTCTCCATGAAGCATGTACTTATATACTTGTGTTAACTAATAAGCCATAAGAATCTAATGGAAGAAAATGAGCTTTTAAGAGATTTATAAACACATGCTAAAGAAGACTAGCACCCACACCCCATAATATAAAACCATACGTACCCTCTACCCGTTTTTTGTGAAGTGGAGGTCGGCCTTTCTTATTCCTCACTGAGGAGGCTTTGCTGCTACTACTTCCGCTGTTCACAGACATCCTGTCATCTTCGCCACCAGTAACCAGTGAATTTCTATAGGAAATTAGTGGGAGCCATACATCTTCCCTCCTTTCCATCATCTGTTCGGTCAGGAACTTCTCCAAGTAGGAGTGACTGTGAAAATAAAAGGCAGTGAATAGAGAAGCTTGTTTCTGTGCTTTTTCTCCTCTGATCAACCTGTACAAGGCCCTCCTGTGTCCATCAACTTTTTTTGTTACCATAAAAGAAAATATTAGATTTTCCATTGAATACCTGCATAAAGAATAACTTGCAAAAATGAACTACTGTTAATTCTTAAAGCAGAATGGCATTACAGCACTCATCCTGCCAATATATCCGTTGATTAGCTTTTAAGCATGCAAGTAGAGGCCACCGACTTCACTGGAACTATGCATATACAGAGGGTTAAGGGCATGCAGATAGCTGAAGTAACAGTACTGCAAAATCCTTGAGGCAGACATCTTAAACACTCGCTAAAATGATGAATGACACAGTTTAGCAAAGCCTGTAAGCAGGGAAATGAGGGTATCACTTACACAGTCTTTTTGTCCTGCCGCAGGAGTTTAGAAGAAAATTCACTAAGGACCTCAAGGAAAGCAAGATTAGGAGGTGGATAGTCTTGTCCTTTCTGATTCTGGTACTTGAAGGCAAATTCTATACCATCCCTGGGGTAAAGACACATGAAATATGTTATTAGGTCTCTGACAAACTGAGAAAAACTTACACCAATTTCACCCGTGGCCTCTTATTGACAGCCACATGGTTCAGCTAGGTTGGACCCTTTTGGTCCGTAACACAGACTGCTGCCATGTGAGCTAATGGTGGAACCGACAGCAGTAGTAGGTTGCAGTAGTTTATGTTGGCAGGCACTAAAAGGGAAAGAAAGCTTTACTAGTAGGTTTCAGGGATATCTTCTGAGAGCAAAGGAATGGTGAGACTCATGGGTCTTTGGCTGCATTTTAGGCTCTGGACAGGTATGTTCTCTAGTGGGTGATGACCCTATCCCATTTCTTTCCTGATTTGACCCCTTCTGCACTGTTTTCTCCAATCTGTCCATGTCATAGTTCTGTTTTTTATTTACCACTGGCTCCTTACCCTAGTCCTATTCTCCTTTTCCAGCAAATCCTAGTCTCATCTCTTCAGATGCCAAATCCTGGTATCTCCTTGCCCAGCCACCCTTAGTTCATGACCGCCTGGCTTCTCATTCAATGTGCTTCTCAACCACCAATCTGGTATCCTGTCAACTTTTCAGACTCCCCAGCCCTATTGGCTCCCAGATGTAGATTTTGCATAGAGCTGCCAAATCACTAGCCCAAATAATCCCAGTGTTCCTCACAACTCATAATCCCAGTTTCCCTCTCCCTGGCTCTAATTCCAGTTTCTGCCCCTAGTCTTGCTAGGCTCTTTTTCCCAGCTTATTCCCTCTCTCCAATGCTGTTAGTTTAGGTTTTTCTTCCAAAACATATAACTCAGGGAACTTCTTACAGCAAGTTGCCTGGGCCCAGCAGTGTGGTTACTGGAGAAGACAGGAGAGTCTCCTTGCTCTCAGTTCAGGCACCTGAATTCAGACTTGGCATGTTTTGTAGCAGTTTGCCTTGCTGTCAAGCTGCTGCCAGTGCGATCGTGACCTGCATGCTGCTGATTCCCCTGCCATCGGCCCATCATTGTGGGCTATGTAATCCAAGTGGGATTATGTACCTTTGGGTGGGAGAAACTTCTGGTTTAAGTGCATATATAAACTTACAGTATTTACCACCACTCACTTGTGTAGCGTGGCCACGGCCTCTCTTGTCTTGATTTGATCCAAGCCAAAGGTGAGGGCAAACCTGCGGGCCAGTTCTTTAATCCCGCTGACATGGGCAGATGTCCTGTCCAAATTGGGACCTTGTTCCTGAACAAGCTCATTAAACAGCTGGAGAAAGAATTGAACTGTTAAAACGTATAAGATAGAAAGCATGTTTTACAGGAGTTTTTCTTTACCCAAAGCTGATTTTACCTGGTGTATGGCCTTGTCCAAAGTCAACTAAAGTCAAAGGGATTTTGGAGGAGACCCTACGTTAAATGCATTTTGGATTAGACCCTATATTAGCAATTCCTGAATTAAGAAACACAGTGGAAAGCTTATACTCTCAGCACAACTTCTAATTCATGCACACTTCTGTATTAAGTGGTTTAAATGAGCAATATAAATGGCAGAGGATCTATATTTCAAGAAATCACCATCAAATGGAAACGTTTTTCATGACATTCTGCAGAAGAAGAATATAAAATCCCAGCTAATAACATCTGCAATAACATAAACATTGACAGAACAGTTAATACAGATGAGGACAGGGCAGTCACAAGGGGTTATCTGAATTACTTGGCAAGTGGCACCAATTCAAACAAAATGTGTTTTAATATAGCAAAATGCAAATGGAACAAGGAAAGCAAGCTGTAGCTACAGAATGCAGGACTGTAATCTGGAAACCTGTGACTCCAAATGACTTATGGCTCAGAGGACAAGCAAGTCAACATGTAATGCTACAGCAAGAAGGGTTAATGTGATCTTTTTAAAGACAGAAGTAATGAATAGGAATATGGAAGTGATTTTACATGTGAAATGGCATTACAGGGACCAACATCAAAATAATGTGTTCAGTTCAGGTGCTTACATTTTCAAAATGATGGTGGAAACCTGGAGGAGAAGGAAGAGCCATAAAAATGATTTGAGGCTGCAAAAAATGTCTTAAAGGGAGCCTTAAGTAGCTTGATCTCTTTATCTTATAAAAAAAAGTGTTGAACAGTGACTTGGTTACAATGTACAAGTACGTTTCAGGGAAAAATTCCAGATGCTAAAGGGCTCTTTAATTTAGTGGAGAAAGGCACAGAAAAAATGAATGGCTCGAAGGTGAAGCTGACAAATAAAAAATGAGGCATGCATTTTTAACGATGAGGATTAATTAAGCACTGGAACAAACTACCAAGAGCACTGGTGGATTTTCCATCTGTTGACGTATTTAAAACAATACTTTTCTATCTTTCTTAAAGATGGGATTTACCTGTATATTTATATTTTTGGGCAACTGGGTGAGTATGATGACCTAAGATATAAGGGGTCACACCAGATGACCTAGGGCATTCCCTTGGAGATGCATGACCCAACTTCCTCACCTTTAAGGGGTGGCAAGAATGAATTAAGAAAAAGAGGCTGCCTCAGTGTGCACTCTGCCTGCACTAGTGGCTTAAGCTGCTTTCCAAGTCCTTGCCTCCCTGTCTGAAGGTAAATAGTTGCCCAGTGTTTCCTGCCCCCATGGCGAGTGAAAATCCTTAGGGGCTATTTGAGTTTTGTGGAAGAGAACCACAGATCACTGACTAGTCCTGGTGAGTGTCTGTGCGTCTTTACACCCCTTTCCCCTCTCCTGACTTGATAACATGAATGACACAAAGAGTGAAATGCCTCACGGTGCAGAAGACAGCATTTGCTATCACACCGCTTCTCTCAGGACAGAGGTAGAAATAATTTTCCTCCCAAACAGACTGGCACAGGGGGGTTAATGTTAAGGGCAGTGAAAAAAATGTTTGAGAGAAATGATAAGATAGATACTGGAAGCAAACTCTATGGCAATCTAATGAGCTGAAGAAAAGATCTTTGCATTCCAGGAGCACTGGAATGGCTTCTAGGAGAAGAGGAGACTCTTGCATGTACATAATTTCCAGATAAGCAAGTGAGCTGTATCAGACATAAGATGCTACATGATGGTAAGTGTGACTTGGGGGATCATAGGACAGGAAGAGAATTTTTGAGACATTGCATCCAGTCCTTTATAAGCAACTATTTGTTCAAAGGGTACAAGAAATCATCCACTCCAACTCCTCTGACACACCACAGCCACAGGCGTTCTATTAAAAGACCCTACAATAGGCCACAAGTAAACAGCAGGGAAGACAAAGGTGCCATCAATGCCTTGTCACTGTGATGATGAGTATCTATTAGGTTAATAGATACTGAGATGACCCTATCAAAAAGACTATTGTTCTGTGCTAGAGGAAGACAAAAACCCTCATTCTTTGCCAATCTGACACTGCAGAAAAATCCCTTCCTGACTCCAAGTCTAGGGATTGGTTTGATCCTGATCATATGAGCAAGCCCTTCCAGTCAGGCACTGAACAGGTTTGTAAGGTCTGGTAGGAGCACCAGCACACTGCACTCAAACTCTCACTTCTAGTTGTAGCCAACATCAGACTCCCATCCCTACACACACCAGAAGTCAAATAAAGAATTCATGGGGGAAAAAATCATCTTGGCTCTTGGAGGGACTGGGAGAAGCCTTGAAGCACAGGATTACCACTGTTTCTTTTCAAATCCATCATGAGAATACTAAATACTTGAATTCACACATCACAAGCATTGATAAGTACTCCCAGAACTCCCCTATTCTATTCTACTATCCTTTCTACAACCGTACTGACTCCTATCTTGAAGTAATTCAGGTTCCTTGCCTCCCTTACTTTGCTTGGAAAACAATTCCAAAACTTCACTTCTCTAATCATTAGAAACTTAATTTTGAAACTGAATTTGCTTGTGACTAACAGAGCCTGGGGCTCCTTTTTCCTTTAAGAAAAAAGTAGCCCAGCCAGGGAGCACTGCAGGCTAGGCAGAGTGCAGCAGCAGCCAGTTGCCAGGGCAACAGGGCAAAGCAGGCAATTAGCAGGCACCTGCAGGCAGCCTGGAAGTGGGCAGAGCCCTGGGAGCATTTAAGCTGGAGGCTTCGGCTGGCAAGCCAGTCTAGCCCTGCCAACTGTAGGGTTTAGAGCTCCTGCCCAGGAGAACTACCCAGGGATGCCAAACTGACTGCTTTCCTGCCTGTAGGGACACCGAGGCCTGGGGCGCTCATAAGGAGGTATGCCAGCACAAGGGGCGAGGGAAGGTTTGCAGAGGGCTGCTTCCCTTTATGTTTATGTTGCAGCCCAGGGGCTCAGTGTTTGTTACAGTTTAAACAGGTGGTTTGGGTTGGGACAGTAAGGGACAGCGTATGGAGATCCCATTAGTGCCTGAGGGGCCTAAGACTGTTTTGAGCCCTCCCAGGGGCAGGGTCAAGGCCTAAATGACTATTGAGCTTGGAGCAGGCATAGTGCAAGGCCACAGAGCGAGGCAGGGGCCAGGTCCTGAAGAGGGGCACAACCAGGCAGGGGCCTGGTACCTGAAAAGGCCAAATGAGAGCTAGTGCCTCAAAGCCAGGCCTGATACAGTGAGCCCAGGCTAGAAGGCCTAGGTAGAGTAAAGGGGAGGAGGCTGAAGTGCCAACAGGAGAACATCATTACTGTAACACCCATGAGGCTTGGGGTGTAGGGGACAACTACAGCCACACGATTAGCCCTTAAGGTTGCAGGTGCCCTGCAGGACACAGTCAACCAGAGAGGCCTGGCGAGGGACCTGGGCACAGCAGAGGCCAGTGGGGTCCAGTTAAACTGGGGGCATGTGAAGGCCCATGGGCAGCCTCCCTATTTATTATATTTCCATCCAGGTGTGGTGGGTGAGAAGGGAAGGCATCCCAGGTGTGGAGCAGAGCGTGGCTGCAGAGACACTAGGGGGCATCACAGCTGTTCCTGGGACTGTGACACGGTACAGTGATGATTTGTCAGGCATTTGATCCTATGCTGATACTTCTTTTTAACTTCGGTATTACTCCTTCCTCTCCGATAATGTATTTATAGAAAATAATCCTATTCCCTTCCAACTTTCAGTCTGATAAGCTAAATGGCCAAGCGCTTTTAATATCATTTTGTAAGTTTAATATCCTCTTATGAGTTCTACCTTCCCTTGATCATCCTAGTAGTGCTCCTTTGTGCCTGTTCTAGTTTAAATTAATCTGTTTTTAATGTAGGCAGAAGGCAGGACAGGGTGACACCTTAGAGACTAACTGATTAAGAGTGGCATAAACTTTCATCAGCAACAGCCTACGTCATCAGATGCTTGGACGCGCAGAAAGCATGGGTTATAAACAGAAGAGAATTTAAATGCAAACGGGGAAGAGGGCACTGCTGAGAGATGAAGGCGAGTTGAAGAGATCAATAGGGATGAAAAGTCAATTAACCCATTGAAAGAAATAGGGATTGTAAAAGCTAGTCCAGGAATGGGATAAGAACCCACATCATACCACATATATCCACATAACAACAAAACACAATCTAGATCATGGATTATTTTTTGCTCCATAGTTTCATGTTAAAGCTAGTTTTTAAAGTTTTGTTGTTTAACAACAACTACTCTGAGGTCAGTGATGAAACATCCAGGGTCATTTAAAGTGTTCTCCCATGGGCTTGTGTGTATTTCTGGAATTGACCTCAGATCAATGCTCATTCATTCTGACATGCAGGAATTGCCCCACCTGTCTAATGTAGACAGCAGAGGGGCACTGTAAGCAGGTGTTGGTGCATATCAGGGCTTCCAACTGGTGGCTTGCAGGGGCTGATTTGCAGCCCCTGGGTTCCTGCATGGGCACTGCTTCCTCCACCGGTCTGGAGGCTACTGCTGCCAGTAATCAGCCAGTACATCCACATCCTACTTGTTGTTTCCTCCAATCTATTAGCTCAGTCTTATGGCAAGAGTTCTTGGTATTAATCCCTCTTGTACATCCCATAGTTTAATTCATACTATGTCTACTGCGCCACTCCACAAGGTAATTCTGCCTATGTAATAAATAATCCAATCCTCCTCTGTATTGGCAAGACCTGCCTTGTTTATCTTGCCCACAAGTTTTCTGAGTGCACATCCAGAACCAGCACCATCGCTAAGGGAAAATTTAAACAGGATGGGATTCTAAACAGGATGAGACAGGGTTGAAAAACAGGATTTTTTTCACATATGAAATGTTTAGCTCCAATCTATACAGCTTGTTTACATCTAATAATATGCCAGATGTTTTAAATGTCTAGGAGAGATTACCGGAATTTACTCAGCATTGCCTAGGTATTTCCTTTAACAATTGACACAAATGTTTAAAAAAACAAAACAAAGTGATTTAGAATTTGGTGATAAAGAAGCAGGCATAAAACACATACAAATGATACACTAAATGAGAAATGCAGTAAATACAGCACATGATGCTATAGGAGGAGAATTTCTGAACAAATCAAAGCCGAGTTTGAAACCAAAGGATACTGTAATTGGCTGCAATCTTAAGTAGCATTTTATATGTTGGATCATAAAATCTTTGCAGAGCTCAATATAGATATTGTTATTACATCACAGAGAACACAACTTACAATTTCATGAACATACTGCAGATAATATAGAGGAAGTAAAACATTCTTATTTGCTTTTTGTCAGCAGGGGGGATCTGCTTGGAAATAATAAAAATAACAAGAGAGGTTGGCTCTTGTGGCTGGGAGCTACTTGAACTCAGCTTACTAAAATGTATGTTCTTGTGGGAGAACTGTACAGAAATATCAGATTTTCCAAAAGCAAACTTGGTTAAAAGTAAGTAAGAACATCCATGGTTTGATTTTACTCCCCCTGACTTCTCTGCGGGTTGGAGTAGACATTTTGCAATAATGTGAAAGGAAGTCAAGAAAATAAGTCTTGAAAATATTAAGAATGAATATCATGGCACAGTATAAAAGAGTGCATTTGAAAAAGAATACAGCATATGCCAAAACCAGAAGGTTCAACAGGAGGTGCAAAAGTCAGGCTTCCAAGTGTTTAATGCCAGAATCGATTATTACGATCATGTAGTCTGACCTCCTCTAATTACAGCATCAAGTCGTATAATATATGGCTGGGCTATCTTTAGAAAGATACAAAATACTAATTTAATGATATTAGTGATGGAGATTCCACCACATTCCTTGATCAATTCTTCCAGTTTTTAATTAACTTGATAAAAATGTTTTCACTTCCAGTCTTAATTGGTCTAAATTCAACTTCATGCCACTGGATCATGCTTTTGCTTAGTAAAGAGTACAATGCAACTGTTACACTTGCATGATTCTCTAGCAATACAAGTATAGCAAAACTGCTCCAATTTTAACCCTTCTTTATTTGGGGTTAAAAGGTAGGGCAATTTAGCTAACAAGCATTACTATGGAAACATGCAGATGTAATGGTTAGCTAGCTCCCCCTCTTCTTTTACATTAGCTAAAAAGTACCTTTGTCCATATTCTTAGGAGTCATGATACATAACCAATTGGGCATGAGCTCCCAGAGCAAGGAGACAGCTAAAAGGCAAAACCCAATGCTAGAATGCATCCCTATGGTAATATCAAGGAGTAGGGAGGTGGTATTACCTCTCTTTACAACACTGAAGAGAACATAACCAGAATACTATCCAGTTCTGGCTCCCAAACTTAAAAAAGATACTAACTTAGTAATAAGAAACTCTACTAAGATTAGAAAGGATTTACAGAAGAGCCAGTAAAGTGACTTAAAAGCTGCAAACATGTTTTGCAATAGTGTAAGGGCAAAACTGTGATAAGCAGAAACTTAAAGTTCACTGCTAAGTAAATATTTAGGAAAACCATGGAGCAGATGCAGCAGATGTGAAAAGGGGAAAGACCATCCAAAATTCTCTAGCTTAAAATGAGTTACTAGTTGGACACAGCCTAATAATTACTGTTCATACTTTTCCTTTAAAAAAAGGACTGGACTTTTATTGGGAGTAGAGGGTACTGGAGAAAGCCTTGTGCAGAAGTTTTTGGAATGAGAATATAATCATCACACAAATTCCTTACCTGTTGCAAACTGAGAATTAGTGTCTTTGCACACTGGATTTTATCGATTTGCCTTGTTTTACTCAGTGTTTCCTTAATGATATCTCCATAGTCATTGTAGTACTAAGAGAAAAGAGAAGAAAACCACACTTTTAAAGATAGAATTCCATTTCCTTTGCATAACTAATGATTTTCCTAATAGAAATGTTCATTTGTAATTCTTATTTTTGAGAAGGCAGTAGTTCAAACAAGCCGTATCTGCAAACCATACTTGCTCCACATGCCAGGTGTCAAAGTCCCAGTACCTAAAGGGAGATAGGTTAGTAGCTGGATTCAGTAATTAAATCTACAACTGCCTTTAACTGTCACTAGCTTTTAAAACAAACAGAATGAAATGGCATACCCAAATTATTTCTTCTTATGAAGATAAGGTAGTTTTTGGTGAAGGTGACTAGTGAGTATATTTCCTGTAATGTTTTCAATTTAGCAATGTTCTTTTCTGAAAGACCCCACCCTTTTCTTAGAAAACTAAAAATACCATTGATCCCATTAAAACTTGATGCTACTAACAGTTCAAAATTGATTACAGACATGGATAAATGAAACAGTAGTATCTATAAAACAGTAGAGATTATTTTCTATTGTAAATAATGGAAGGAACAGATGACAAGAGCCCTTTAGCTATAGATAAGTGCCAACAAATAGTTGATGGGAGATCTGCACTATTCTTCTCTGATTATTACCAATCATTTATTTACAGTACCATCCATTGTATGTGGCAGGTGCTTTCCAAACACTCAGACTATGGACAGGTGCACAAATTAGAGAGAATTTGAAGGGAAGCGGTCTTACTGTGCATAGCAATTTTTACTGATGGGTACATGACCTTGGTTAAACTTTCACTTACTGTGGAGTAAGAATAAGCCCAGGAAGTTCCTGAAGAGCAGCAGATGGGCAGTAAATCCTCATTCCCTGTTAGTTTAACATAATTTGTTCATTTGTCCCCGAGTAGGGAAGCTCTTAACCCAAGGAAGAACTACCCACAAACTGAGAATTGACAGTAGGAGGAAAACTAGACAAAATATATACAGTTTAAATGAATCATCTTGATTCACTAAAAACAGAATCATGGGAATTGGTCTTTACCAGGGACCTATACGTGGACAGCCCAGAGGCCTTGTGGATTAGCTTTGGGATGTCTTATTATGCACAGAAGGGCCAGGTGGAAAAAGGAACAGAGGTGGCTACATAAAAACCTGACGGTCAGGTAGACAGGCCTGGGAACGTTGGCAGTCAATGGACTCAATATAACACTTGAAAAGGGATGATATAGAAGGAGGGGCAGATTCTACCAGAGCTTTATCTAGGTGGTACCTACAAATTGTATTTAATGCAACGGAAAATGGGAAACCAAGGTTGTCGGAGAAGCTTTCAGATAGTGGGGAACATGATCAGATAGGCCCAGTAATATATCATATTGGCATATGGTAGGGACAATGTTTCACCAGGGATTAGAGAGCCAGAGCCAGCAAATTGTTGAGCAGCCAGTGAAGATCAGTGTAAAGGATCACCAAAGAATCATGTAACTATTTCAAAACACATTCCACTTATAATGAAGGGTAAGTCCAGACCAGCCTACAAAACCAATCATCTGACCATAATAAGTCAGTACCTGCTCTATTCACATCATCATCCCTTTTTCTTGCTTCTAGAATTTGCACAAAAGAGCAAAACAAACACAAGCACAGTAAGCCATCATGTGTTCTGGGCTTCACAGAGTGACTTGATTTTTTTTTCTTTTCTTTTCTTTTCTTTCTGTGTACTAGAGTGCAAACAATTCAGGGCAGGAGCTGCCTTCACACTGTGGTGCGTTCAGTGCTGATCATATTGTAAAGTTAAAAATGGTGATAAGAGCATCATGCAATTGAGGGATGATGAAGGGTAATTTTATAGCAACTTCTGCAGAGACAGAGACCTACACTTCAGAGTTAGATGTAACAGCTCTTCCCTAGTGCAGGTCCCAAACAGGGTTTCAAAGGGACAACCTCTTTCTTAAACCTAAGCATACGTGCATAATGCAGGCTACTGCAGGGCCAATGCTTTCCACTGCTTGCAATATACTATTTTTCTTATTAAAGGTCAGCACGCTCAAGCCCAGAGACTGATGCATCTCAGCACTGGGGGTAGTTGAAAGGGGAAAACTGTAGTAATAAATTAAAATCAGATCAGAAAAAGTGCTCATGAAGGTGCAACAAGAAACTTCTGGTCTAGTGGACAGAAGAGGAGGATGACCTAATGTTTCAAGTCTTTTCCAGCCACAATTTCTTTGCTCATTCAGGAGGAGTATAAAAAACCCACAGAACCATACCTTCATATAGTGCTTGAAGATATCTGCTGCTGCATGCATGTCCACAATATCATATATAATAAGTTTGCTAAATGCTGCCAGGAGGTTCCTTCTCTTATGCAAAGCCTCTATTTTGTTAGCTTCATCTTCTTCATCTCCCTCTAAATACAGTAAACAAAATGGTTAACAAATATCTATGGTTTTCTAAAGCAACATAAAACATGATCATGTTTGTTTAATAACTTATATTATTTAAAAATGAAAAACTCTCAAGGGTAGTTTTAGGCAACACTAAAGTTGAAGAGTAAGACTCTAAAGCCCTGTCTATATGGAGACACCCAGGGAAATTAAAAAGAATCAAGTTACAACGTCCTTTGGCCATTTTAGGACAGGAACATCCATATGGGCCTTTAAAGAGTTAACTTTAGAAAGAGGAGTGCAGCTACAAGAGTGGTTGCTATAAGCTGCAGGGGATATACTAGGTTTTGCTTCTCAAGGACATGTGCACTGAATGCTAATTGGTGGCCAGCAGAGAAAGGGAAGACTTCCTGGACAGTAGTAAAGAATTCTTGCTACAGATACAGCAAGGAGAAAAAGTGAGGCTGAAAAATAAGTAAGAGAATTGGCAGTTTTTGACAACCAGGAAGAAGTGAACTGTAAGACACTGAACTCACAGAGATGAGCAACCAACTTCCAGGTTCTTCTCAGAGCTACTACAGAGAGTATCTCAGCTGGAACATGCAACACTAACACTGACTGGAAGTTAGGAAACCTATAACCTAAAAATGGAAGGTCCATGCCCAAGAAAAGGAGAAGGATGGGGGTCACAGACTCCTTCATAGCGGGGAGGGAGAAACCAATCTGTTGGTCTGACTCTGGGTGATGGTGCCCATCTGGAGCTTGAATTCAGAACATGGTAGACAGGTTGCTGAGACTCGTCATCAGACTCATTTAATTACGGCCAAAAAAATGGGCAGCTTGCTTCCGAGGCTGCCAGATGGGAACCTGAACAGATGAAAGAAGATAGCAAACATCTAAGCAGAGGGATAATTAGGTGTTAGAGTTAGGGGCACTAATACCACTCTCATCGACCCTCTTTGTGAAGATCAAGGCACAGACATCAATGTGCACCCTGAACCCAAATGCATAGTTATGAAGATGACTACTAAAAGAGGGGCTTGGGCATCTTTGACAATGGAAAGATATTCTATGATAGAAGACTGCTGGGCATGAGTGGGCTCCATGAGATGAAGTTTATGAACAGCACCTCTAGATAGTGACCAGCAAACCTGGCGAGGAGGTCTTTAATGTAGGTTTCATGAGGGATGGTGACAAAAATGGACAGGATACATCAAAAAGTAAGAATGAAGGATGGGGAACTGGATGAATTCTGGAGAAGGGGGTAGAAATTCCAATAAGGCTAAAGACAATGCGGAGCAAAAAATATAGGTTACCTACATCGTTTATTTTCAATGCTTACATACCAATTTGAGGAGTGTGGGGGAGCAAGAAAGATGAACTGCAAATCACAGTGTGGAAGGGAAGCTATGCCCTAACTGGCATTACAGAGCTGTGGGAAGGCCCCATTCCTTCTGTTTTATTGCCCACAGGGTCATTCCATTTTGCTATAGTGGAGAAACAGAATTTAAATGATGTATAACTCCTATAAACTGCAGTTATGCAGCTGCAGATGTGCCATATAGACACAAAGTGAAACAGAATTTAGCCCAAAATGTCCAGCAAGTTCCTAATGCACAAGAACAACTTTCTGGTCCAGAAAGTTGAAGAATCAACCAGGGAATTATTTTTGAATGGGTTCTAATCAATAGGGAAGAACTGGTTAAAAAACAGTGATTGCAGAATGGGTAGAGATGGTCATGAACTGAGGAAGTTCATAATTCTAAAAACAGCAAGGCAGATGAACAGCAAAATACACAAGAATGTCAAATCAGTAGGTTTTAAGGTTCCATTTCTTAAGAAATATTTGTTTGTTACAGACAAACCATGTCAAGCCAAACTAGTTTCTTTCTTTGACAGGATAACTGAAGACAAAGGGAATACAGCAGTTATGTATCTTGACATCAGTAGGACTTTTGACATGGTGCATATCACATAGATTCATAGACATTAGGGCTGGAAGGGACCTTGGAAGATCATCGAGTCCAGCCCCCTGCCCCATGGGCAGGAAGTCAGCAGGGATCCCAGGATCCCAGCAAGATAAACATCCAAAAGTCTCTTCAAGGCGTTGTATGCTGGAGAAACATGGACTAGAAAAAATTACCATACAATGAATACAGAGTTGCTTGAAAGATGACAGGCAATGAGTTGTAACTAATGGATCAATATGAAACTGGGAGAAAATATTGAACTGGGTCCCTCAGGGATTAGTTCTGGTCTAGTGCTGTTCAACATCTTTATTAAAGACTTAAAGGTGGAGATGTTCACATTTTCAGATGACACTAATGACAACAAACACTAAAGGACAGAATTAAAATCTCATCAGTCTCAGCAAACTGGAGAATGGCACCATGAAATTAAAAATGAAACTCAACAAGTACAAATACCATATATACTGGCATAATGTGCACATTCTAAAATTGGGATGCATGTCTGAATTGGGGAAACTGATATTCTGCCCAAAGTAGAAGCATCCTACTTTGATGCCTGCTCTTCAGTGCATAGCAGTTGGCTTTTATTATTCAGGCAGCTCATGGAGTCGGTTGACTTTATGGCTCACTGTTCTTCACTCCCGAGGTATTAATAATCCTCTCTCCTCTTTCAACAGTCTCAATATTCCACTAATCAAGCTAACCTTTCTTTAGGCAGTTTTGCTGTCTGCCAGCTGCTCCTGGTCTCTCTTCTATTTCACAGCCCTGAGGACTCTTGTTTTTTTCAAAACCACAGAGCCAACCATGGAGACTAGCCTTCAGTAACAGCCAGGGTTTCAGCTTTTAGTTAAGCAGGAAAGAGAGGGCAGGTCAGCTGACAATTAGACTGCCCCTGCTCCATGCAGCCCCAACTCTGGAAAAAATGGTTTTTTTTGTTCTGTTTTTCAAAAACAAAGTGCATAGTTTTTCTGTGGCATGTTGTAGGCAAGAAAATATAGTATAAGGAACTTCACATAGGCAAGAAAAAGCAAATACTTTAGTATAAAGTGGAAAATAGGAAGGAATCAAGGGCTGGGAAGGAATCAAGGGCTACAAGTAAATCACAAACATTTACTTTAAATGTTTGTTTATGTTTATCTATGTTTAAACACATAGATGTCCCTTGAGGTCCCTTCTAGCCATATGATTTACAGAATTAATTCATTTGCCTTAATTTTCCTGAGATTCCCATTCTAGACAAGACCTAAGTGAGCTTTTGGTTTAACTATCTTGATTAAATAATAGCCTGTAGGTGGTGCTTTAATATGGTTGGACTTATTTTATCTTTTTACATAAGTATGAGAAATATTGTCCTACTGTAGAATTGTTCTGCACCATAAAGAACAATGTGCTTCAAATTTTAGCTGTGACATCCCTAGCGCTCCAAACAACAATAAAGAATAGAAGATATTACATGGCTCTGAGAAACACTGACATAAACAGCAATGTAAGTGCTTATACTACAAATGAAAAAAAAAAAATTACTAAAATGGGAAAATAGCAGAATGTGAGATAATGAAACTGGATTCCACAACTTCAGCATAAAAGCAAAGTTATATACAGATTTTGATAACAGTATTCACTTTTAGATACGCTGGCAGCATTCTCATAGAAATAATTCCATTGCATTTAAATAACATAGATGGTATATAAATGGTGGGGTGATCACTTATTGTATACAGCTCCTACTTTTTGCCTATGTTGCCTCTATGGATTCACAATGTGCAAAGTCACGTAGCCATGAAACATTCTGAAAGCAACTGTGAAGGCGGGGAGATGCACAAATCCCTCTATCCCTAGCTGTTCTGGGCAACTATTCCCTGAGTTCTCTACTTCCAGTGCTAGTTGCAGGTTAGCTCTGAAAAAGAGAGGTCATGAAGGATCAGCATACTGTAGCCTGGAGTTGTGTTACAGAAGTTAACCCCTCGTCTTTGTTGATGGTGCCTTCAGAGTCCCGCTCTAGGAAGCTCCCTCAGAACTTCTATGACCCAGACAGTGGTGGAAGTATGAAACTGATACTTGTGGGACTCAGGAAATGGAGGTGCATACAGAAACCCTATGGATTCTGACAGACAATTTCAGAGACTTGCTGCAGGACTGCCCTTTCTCATACCAGAATGAGGCCCTAAGGAGCTGTCTAATGCAGGGACTGGCAACCTATGGCCCACAGACCGGTTCTAGTCTGCAGAGTTATTTGATCTGCCCTGTGGCTTTGGCAGTGGGGGCAGCAGAAACTTGCCCGTGCCACTGGAGAGAAGAGCACGAGCTGCAGGCAATCTTCCAATGTTACTATGTGGAGAAGCGGCAGCAGTAGCTGGATCCTAGCTCCCACATTTTCCCCTGTCTGATTCAAACTGGGTTGCTGTGGTCTGCAGCCTGAAAAGGTTGCCTACCATTGGTCTAATAGGAACATTAACTAGCTTATGACAGGACTGGATGAGAAATCTAAGCTATTTAAGGGAAACTTTGCCATGAAATAGATTTTATATTTTTCCAAAGCCCCACAGAGTCTGTTTATTTGTTGAGGACCAAATGCAGATTGTTTTAACAGGCACCTCCATTCAAATGCTGCAAATCAACCCCAGCACTACTGTACCTGAATGCCATGAGATGAGTGCCATGAAATATTAGCATGTTGGGTGTTCAAACACCCACACATGGTTTGCAAGACAAACCTAAACATTTTGAATAGGAATCCATAGCATCAAAACCATTCTGACCTGTTATGGTTTTTCTAAATTTTCAGCAACAGAAAAAATATTCTGTTTTTCTGTACTCAAAAAAGGAGTGAAAGCTAAAAGACAGCACTTTCCAAGGGGTGCCTTGAGACTAATGTGGGGTGCAGTTTGAGCCTAACAAGACTGCAAACCACTGGTTTAAGTATTAGGCAACTTGCATCAGGGAAGAGATTTGATCTGACAAGCCCAGTAGCTTCACATTTCAATCTCATCAATGTGCAAACTTCCGGGTGCGTGGGGAAAGTTGCTTAAGAGAGATTAAGGTTTGAGTGTCTA